CTCAATGGTACATATTTACCGGAACCTGCTTTTCAGTGCATGGAGCTGTGACTCCGTCTGTGCAACGCTCGCCTCGTAGCAAACGCTTAGTGGGAAACGTAGCGGCTCTTTCTGAGGTCGTGACGAAGGGCTTTTCACAGTTCCATGTGTTGTGTGTGTCTTTTGGGTTTTTTTCAGTAGCCCCCTTGACTATGAAAATGGATTATTTTCAAGCACATAGTGACCAAGAGAAGCGACCGAGGTAAAGACGGCCTGGGGTCTTCACAACGTACTCAAGACACGGGACTGAGTGAAATGCGCCCCCACGTGCTCGCTGCATGAGTAGCCCAGAAACTCCCTCAGCCTCTGAGATGCCCCTGTTTTGTGGAAGGTGTACCTTTGCTCTAGAATGCTCTGCTTACCTCTCTGTGCAAGCTAAGATGATTCCTTCTTCTCAGCCTCCAAGCGTATTTGTGAGCACCACACATCACCCACCGCCGCCGCCCAGCTCCCAGTAACCGTGAGGCTGTTGTAAGGCAACACGGGCCTACTGGAAGGGACAGTGTAAGCCACAGTGACGAGGGCTTGGGATTACCTGGCAGCTTCCCTGTGCTGACACCAAAGGCAATTCGGTGTTAAGTTCAAGGTTCTTGCAGAAAACCAGTGGTTATTTCTGCCTGAAGAAACTGGGTTTTGAAGTTTTAAGCTGCTCTTCTCAATCATTTCCAGAGCTGTTTCCAAATTGCAATCAGGAGGAGCTCTTTTTATCAGAAAGCCAGATTCTTACTGTGTGGGCTGTGACATCCCTGTAACCTAACTTAGTTTGCTGTGGTAAGCAATATGCTAATCATTACTGCTTGGTAGATGTTGTTAAAAACTTGTGAAAGTGTGTTTGGAAAAAGCAAACACCCCAGTCAGAAAAGAGTTGTTAAAACCAAGTCATTTACAGATCTCTCGGCACCAGCCAGAGTCACTCTCAAGGGTCAGCTCCCTAGTATGACACTGAGGCTTATTTGTGTCACCACTTTTCTGTTTCCCAAATGACTTACTAGAATTTACCCTTCGTTTAAAATTCTCTGTATTTCTAATGCCTAAGTAAAATACTATCTCCAGAAAATATAGCCCCTTCCTGGTGCCCCCGGCCGGTCCCTTCACAGCCATTCCAGTTGGACGTTTCCTGTCCCCTCGACCTGTTTCTTCCCAAGAGATGGATAATCTGTCTTGTCACTGCGGGGCCCCACGGAGGCCGTCCTACTGGTGACGGGCACTGGGAAACCACCGCCTTCCCATCGCTACCTGCAACTCAGGACAAGCAACTGGAAGCCACCCAAGGGTGCCCACCGCCTCCTCGAGGCATGTGCCCGTGTCCTTCGGGTGTGGCTGTGCCACTTGTCCCTGTGCTTAGAAGGCAGATTATCTCCAGATCTCGCTTTTTGTATATTTTTGCTAACCATGCATAGTCGACCTAATGTTTAGGGCTGTACCCCAGCTTACTCTGTGGCTCTTTAAAAAGTGGGTTGTTTTGTGAAATCCAGTGATTCCCGGTGGGCAGTGTCTAGACCCCCTTACTTGTTTTAAATTTTGCCTCCTTTCTCTTTCCATGAAGGCAGCACATGTTGTATTAACTTCTGTCTCTTGTTAAGTGAGGGTAATGTCTTTGTTTTGTCCAAAACTATATTGAAAAATATAAATACTATATTGTTTAATGCAAATGAAGGAATGCAATAAAGAGTACATATACTTGACACATTCTCTAGACCAATATTTTGAACCAAACAACATACCTACCTGATACGAATGGAGACTCGAATGCCTTGTTTTAACTAGCATAAGGAGATGCATGATTTTAATTGAAAAAAATCTGAGTTTTTTTATTTAGAAACTATAGTTAACTTTTAAAAGAAACAGGTCTATGATGGATTTTAAAAAGTTAATGCATAGGAATCCTTATGCTTATTTTATCAATTAAAAAACTAAGGGGTACCAAGATCAATGAGTTATTGAAAAACCAGGAAAAAAAAATTTTTTTAAAAAAAAAAAAAATTCCTTTTTTTTTTTTGGCATGGAACTGGGGTTTAGGCCAGAGGTGTGGGGGTATACAAGGATTCACCAGAGACAGAGTGGGAAGCAGAACAGATGGGTCCACTGAAATACACTGTGAGGGGAGCAGTGGGCGGAACAGGAGAGGTCTGCTGTGCCATGTGGGTCAGCTCCCTGGC